TTCCCCACACAGGAGACAGTGATAAAGCAGGGTACAAGACCTAGACTGACCCCAGCCATCCGCTCAATGGCTTTCTTGGTCCTGAGCCTCATGAACTGGTGCCATGCAGCTGCTGCAGCCATTTCTGCCTCTCAGGGAGCTCTTCGCTGCTAAGCAAGCTAGTACGTCCTCTTCTCAAAGCTCCTAAAACATGTATATGAGAGAGACAAGTCTGATCGTCTAATACGCACAGTCTACAGCTTTCCTGCAAAGTCTGTGAGTAACCACGAAAGGAAGAGAGAAGAGACAAGATCATTTCCAGGCACCACAATCAGTGATGCAAGGATGCCAAAGGAGCAGACAAGAACCAGACAAAGCCTGCGCTCTGCAATGGTAGCACCGTTTTCCTCCTTATTAGCCCTGTAAATCCAAAGTGTCAGCTTGGTCCTCCAAAGTCAGGTATGCACTTAAACATAGCTCTGGTTTGGACTGCATTACTTAAATAACTTTTTGTTTTCCAAAAGAGAGATGTTTCCCTCATGCTGGGAAGGATGGTGGCTGAGGGCATCAACAACAGAGTTGAGGAACAAGACGATATGGAGGTCAGCATGCTGACAGATAATTCACCCAAACTGATTTGCAGGTGAGGATTAAAGTTTCCAGACTGCTAAAGCTGCTTGGTTGCTGGCTGGAGCATTGTCTCAGCAGCTCAAGGACGGTCTCCAGAGCCATGTCAGGACCTAGGCTTTGCTGTCATGTCACTGACACCTGCAAAGGCACTGAGGAGCATGGGATGCTCTCCCCTGGCGCTGCATGTGTGCTGCAGGGGAACCCCCAGCTTTCCCACCGAGCCCTCGCATGCAGGCACCGAGTTGAGTGGCTCTGTGGCACTGCTGCTCTGCGCCCACTGGAGAAGTCTCCCACACAGCCACCTGGGAGCTTATTTCTAAGATTAAACCCTGGAGGTAGTTTCCATACCTTCTCCTTGACATGGAAATTTCTCTCTCTTATCAAGGCAATTTGTCTGCCCTTCAGATGGGAGCTTGGGGAGCAACAGGAGGGGAAAGGCTGAGTGATGAGTCTGCCTTTTCATAGACCTCCTGGTTCTCCCCTGGGGTTTGCGTAAGGGTCTTGGACTCTTTCAGTAATCCTTGGCTATTCCTGATCACCTTATTTCTTACTTCCCACTTTCCTAGCCATCTCCTTTATTAAATTTTCATATTCACCATGTAGGAAGAAGAGCTACTTCCTGTCACTGATGGAGCAGTTTAAAGCTATGGAAGTAGAACTCAAGCACAATCTACCCAACAAAATTATTTAAAATATAAGCGTTGATGCAAATGAAGCACCCTCACCTCAGCTCAAGGTGCAACTGCTTTTCACGGGTGTATGGCATCCACAGCTGGAAGCTGGGCAAGGGACTAGGGAACCTTCTGCCGCCCAGATCAGCTCTCCCATGCTCATGTCAAAGAGGCTTCTCACCTGACCCAGAGAAAACACAGCATTTTCTGAATAGTCATCACCCTGCAAACATCAGAAGAACAGCAGACAAGGCTCATTTCTCCCGTAAAGCTAAGAGCAATAGTCAAGGCTATGTATTTCAGATACAGGCTTAAGGAAGGTCCTCCTGGCCTGCTGACAGCATTTTACCGCAGTTTCAAGGAAACTTAAGCTGTCAAATTTTTATGAAGCTGTCTTTGACATCTGGTCCCTAAGGAAATGAAACAGTCAAGATTAAGTAGACCCACTAATTACATAGTTAACAAGCGACTACGATAGACAATAAACAATATCTCTTTTCCCACAGGGAAAAATAAGCATCACGGACATGAACACACTTCCTTCTGTGGAGTTCCCCCAAAAAACATCAGCCCTCAAGGTGAACCTGCTCCAGCACCACGCTGACACCCTTCCTGCAGGCATGGGTGGCAAAGCCAGAACCACCCTCTGTATCCAGGAACATGGGGTGCCCCTAGTGCTCCCCTCAACCCATGCAAGGATCCCCCTCCCATCAGCAGGGGGATTTCTGCTCCAGACTCGGAGACTGCTCCCCACTGGGGGAAAACAGAGCCTCTCCCACATATCACCACATTGCCCTGGCTGCTGCGGGCTCCTTAGAGAAAACCAAGCAGCTATCACAGCGGTCAGAAATCCATGGCAACCTGTTTGCTAACTGTAAAAATCACCCTTCTCCAGAAGTGGAGCTCTCTGTCTGGAGTAACTTAAAACCCCTTAGGGTAGTAACACCACTGAAAGGACGGGGCAGGACCCTTCCCTGCCACCAAGGCCCTTGGGCACTTCATGGTGCTGGTGAAAAGCCTTGCTCTAGAAGTTAGGAGGAAGAGGCCACCTACTGAAGTGTTGGTCTCAATGGCTGAAGTGCCTCACTTACACTCTTGGAAGCGGCTTTCCTTTCTCCAGAGCTCCCCACACCACTTGAGGCATAAGCGATGCCCACCTGGCCAGCAAGCTCAAATCTAAAACCATCTCCTTAAAACAGAGAAGAGGCATCAGAGTAAGATTGTTTCTGACTGCTGACCGACCAGAGCGTGCACCAGCTGACACTGCCGAGTCCTCTCCGTGTCTCCGGCTGAGATGAAGCCATCAGTAAAATCACAGAAGGGTGCACTATCCCCTCCTCTGGCTGTTTAAAATAAGTGTCACTAAACCAGACAGATGCTGGCGCTGTGTCTCAGCAGGCACTAATTTAGCCCATACGGAGTGCTCTTACATCATTTGTTCTGGGCACAGCTTAATTGCAAAATTAATTATTTTCCTATCAAACAAAATTGTATAAGAGGGTAGTCATGGGATTTTTAAGCCTGACGGATGCTAAATAGGATTTGAATAAATATAAACAACTTTGGCTCCTGTCTATGCTCAGGACCCCCAAGAGGGTAGCACCACCGGGGCAGGGAGCCAGCGAACGCGCGGCGGTGGGGGACAGGGCACAGCTACCGCAGGGAAGGCAGGGGCACGTAGTCCCAGCCGCCCTGCCGTGGGGCGCCGAGATGGAGGCCCCATCCATGCCGGGATGCCGCAGCAGACACAGCTGGGCAGTGAACTGCAGATCACGTCACCACCCATCTCTGGCACATCCCATCGGCTGCAGGAGGCCTCCAGCGCATGCTGCCAGTATCATGGCAGGGCTTCCACCCCGCTGCAGGGAGCCGGCAGGACCATGCAGAGCTGGGGGAGCCTCTCCAGTCCCCCTCGCCCTGTCCCACTCCAGATGTGCCCCTTCCCCGTGACATACTGGGTAGCCGTCCCCAACATGGAGCTGGCATGGCAATACGATGGCACCCAGCATGGAGGCAAGGAGAGGGGAGTGTGGCCATCACTGTGGCATCAGGCTACAGCTGTCCCAGCCAATGGTACATGGCAGCTTGCGCCCAGACTGCTCCTCACCAGGTAGTGAGTGGTTTGCAGCTCAAGACAAGCCTGTTCAATTTATTCTTGTTTCTGACCCTATTGCAGCAGGCTTAGACACAAGCAGGGCTAACCACCACCTCAAACACACAACTTTTCGCATGACAGGGCAGAGCAGACCTAGATTTTAATTGAGAGGCATCCCTTTTAAGTGGGCTGCATCCTCAGGTAATGACAGAAGTGAAAAAACATGGACAGGACCAAAACCGTGGCATGAGGGAGCCACAGCCGGAACAAGTCATGACAAGTCATGATTGTCCCTGCAGATGTCTTCCCTCTTCAGTCTCCTGATGGCCACTCCAACACAGTGCCTGGCTGTGTAGGCAGGGCTGTGGTGGGCAAATTGCCTCAAAAGCACACAGGAATGAGAAAATTGATTAGCCAAACACATAACTGCACAGTGAGAAAACCTTACCTGAGCAAAATATGGGCACCAGATGCCAAGGTCATGTCTTGGATTGTGGGACAACGTAGTGTGAAATCTGGCACGGATCAAGCCATCACTGCTCTTATCGGGCACATCTGCTGAAGTATGGCCTTTGGGTAACAGCTGGGCTGAGCTCAAGTTACGTTAAATTCTGTAAAAACACAGAAGAAATTACTATCCCAGCTGCAAACTGGAAAACTGGACCTCAGCTCCCAACCAGTGAAAGGGGCACGTGAGCCATTTCATATTTATCCAGTGAATTTATGAAGCTGCATTATGAAAGCACGAAGCACTGACTCCTTTGGTGTGTTTAAAAAAAAAAAAAAATGTCCACAACACAGCTCATTTTGAGCCCCAACACAAAGTCTGCAAACCTGTATACGAGTTTTTTTTCAAATATCTCCTTTAATGCCTCACATTTGTTAAGCATTCTGTGATGCCTTTTGTATTAGACCATATCTCTGAATTAGGGAGTATCTGACTTAATAAAAACGACTTAAGCGATAGCACCTATGGTGAGACTTTGTTGTTTTATGAGGTCTTTTACCCTGAGAGAGCAACGAGGCTCTGGGCATGCAACCACTGCCCTCAAGTGGTATGAGCTGTGCAGGACCTTTCATTAAGCTCCTCAGCTTTATGCAGAGCAAGGGCACAGGCAAAGGCAAAGAGGCCTTTGCACTGGAGGAAAGCTGCTTGAGCATATTTGGGCTGTGAAAGGAAAAAAGGAGACCATTTAAAGAACATCTAGAAATTTACCTTTTAAGAACTGAGCCCGGAAACCGGTCAAAGGAAGGAAAAGGCATCCTTTGCCTAGGGATGAAACTAGGGCCACGCTGGCCGAGCAGGCGGCTCCTCCGAGGCCAAAGCCTCCTCTGAACCGAGGCAGAGGGCATGGCCGTCGGGTCAGCAGCAGCCCATCGCAGGCTACCAGCAGAATGCTGGCCCACCACCCAGGCCCCGCTGCCTCCCGGCATGGGAGCCTGCTCCGTCCTCCAGCCACGCTCCTCGGTGGTCCCACTCCCAGGTCCCAGGTCCCACGGCAGCGAGCACTGGCTTTAGAGCTCAGATGTGGCTCTTTGGCCATGTCTGAATGCAAACCCCCAGCTCCAGTGCGCGTGTAAAACAACTGGAAGTCCCCAGCATGAATCAGGGTGAAATAATGATCCTAATTTATTCTGCTTCTCTCGACCAGTCTCTCCCTCGGTTCCCGTGGTGTTTCCTGTGTTAACTACTGGGAACCAGCAGGAACGCTTGAAGAACAAACAACTAGCAGGCATTTTTTTAATTATTGGGGTAGCTGAAACATTCTTCTACAGCCCTGCAAAGACAAAGGATGAGAGCGTTACAACATCGTTGTTTTAAAACCCTGAGCTGACTGAGCTTGCCAGGGGGGTCTGAGCACTGCCGAAGCAGTGATGCTTTATAACCACTTAATTGTTTGACTTGACCTTTCTCACATCTTCTGACAAAATTCAGCACACAGCTAAAAGGCAAACACAGTGAAAACAAGCATCTCCTTAGGATGACTGGGGATCTACAGGAGAAAACCTGAAGGGAGGGAGAGAAAGAGAGACTTCGCCGTGGGCCTTACTCCTAATTCCTATGGGCCTTGCCTACATGCTACTTGGGCAGCCCTTACTCATGCCTGGAAATCTTGCAGATGCCCAAGGAAAAATGAAACGCATGCAGTACTGCAGGCCACCTCCTCCTGCTTGCTTAGCCAGGGCCCAAGCAATGAGGCTGGGCAGTACTCTTTGCCACCACAGTGACAGAGAGGTCTCAAAGCACCACCTGTGATTTATGGGAAGGGCCTTGTTCCCAGGCATGGCGGTGTGGTGCTCTCAAGGGTGTAGGAGAAGCCACAGGCATGGACGCACAGAGCCACCGGGAGCTGCTGGCATGGCTCTGTCCCGCACTGCTGCAGGCATCGCTCCTCCCTGTCCGATGGGGGATGCCCATGCTGGGCTCCAGAGCTGTTGTCTGTGCTTTTCCGTCCTGGCTGCCAGCCTGGAAAACAAAGTTCCCAATAAAAGTGACAGCAAGTAGGGAAGAACGGCTCCAACATTCCTGCCTGCCACCAGCGGCGTTTCCAGAGCAATGGGGCTGGAGAGGTTGAGCCTGTTGAGCTCCCAGATGAATAAGAGCAGTGGACACATTAGTGCAGCATTATAATGCCCTTCAGCAAAGGGTTTAGAGCTCAGCCATATTGCAGCAGACCTCCCTGGTTAAAATCCCTTCCCCAGTCCTGCAGCAGAGAGAAAAAGACTGCAGTCCTATAACACACTATCAATTAACAACTTCCCTATCTACAAGGCTCTTTTAGACCCAGGCTTTATATTCTGCAAGCAGAGGACATGATTTTGCCAAAGGGAAAGATTTTCTTGAAGCAGAAGGACTGAAGAGTGCTATCGCTCACCGAGCTTGGCCAGGAAGGGATGGAGCAGCGAGTAATCTCACCGAAGCCTCCTACAGCCGCATCCACAGTCATGTAAGGTAACGGCATTCACTTCGCTCTGGTTTAATGTGCTCAGCTCTGTATGTTTCTACACCAGTTCTGGTGTGGTATGTCCCACACCAGAACTAGGGCTTGTCTCAGGCCGATTTGAAGGCAATAAATGCCTTAAATGAGGGCAAAACCTGCAGAGGGATCAGGGAGCATGGCACCTGGGGACGGGGCAGGCAGTCTGCCATGCCCCAGCATGGCAGACGAAGGGAAGCGTGTCCCCTGTACAGCCAGGGGACAGGGAGCAGCTAGGGGATGAGCAGAGGTCAGCTCTGCAGCAGCTGGAGGAACAATCTTCATCGGCCACCTCTCTGGTCCCTCTTCCTGCCTGAGCACCAGCCGCCCAGCTCCCGCTTCCCTGCACACCAGAGCTCTGCGTGCATGTTGTGCTCTGCAGCCTTGGACTGAAAGCACAAGGCGGGTTAGAGTCCAGGGTGGGTAAAAGCTGCCTATTTGGCTTTGCTTGGAGAGCTTGGGTGATGCCTGCACTGCTCACTGGATCATGATGCAGAGCTCCTCAGGCCCTGAAAGCAACACTGCTGTGCTGCAGCGAGCACGGCTGTGCACTGCAGAGATCGGTTGAGGCTCCTGCCACACAGAACCTCCCCTCAATGCTATGGAGGGAATAATATTTTGGATGTTGGTGAGGCATGGAGAATTCGTTCTTATATGCAATCAGAAAAATTCTAGACAGTGTCAGACTTACCGCATCAGGAAAAGAGACATGAAGGCCCCTGAGAGTTTGCTAGAAAAACTACTTGTCCATGGAGGAAGTTTCTTCCTAGCCCTCCTAACGAGAGATTGATTTATGGCCAGAAGCATAAGCATTTTATAACCCTCATTAAAAATAATGTACCCTGGATGCAGCATGTTTTTAAGCATTGGCCTCGGCAGTATCTTGTGGACGAGAGTTGTTCTCGTTCATTTTCCTTTGTATGAAGTGCCTGTCTTTACCAGTTTTGAATGAGTCTCCCTCTTGCTCTCACCAGCTATGTCCTCATTCACATGGTGAGAGCAGACGGTGGAGGAGGTGGGGGACCAGAGCAGAAGCTACACAAACTGCACAATGTATTACTGAAGTGAATGGCGTTCACAGCTGATTGCTCAAAGACAGATTTCTGTTTCAACAGCTGCTGAACAATAAAAGTGGTGGCCTGAAGGAGAGCTCGTGGTTTGCTTGCATTAATTGGATGTTATTTGGACTTCTGAATCAATCCCTTCCTCACCTTCGCAGCCACTTACAGAAGAAGGGGCCTCTAAACCTTTCAGCAGAATGAACAAGACCAAGGGAGCTTTTGAGAGCCCAGAGCTTTGGAGCCCAGGTCGCACGCAGAGCACCTCCTTGACCAGTGTGGCACCACCATTTGCATTCGGCCAGCAGGCCACGGACAAAGCCCTGAATGCGATTCTTATTGTGGTCCTCTTTGTCATCATGGTATCTCTGGGGTGTACGATGGAGATAGCCAAGATCACAACTCACCTCAGGAAACCTAAAGGCGTGGCAATTGCTGTAATGGCTCAGTATGGCATCATGCCCTTGACAGCGTTCGTATTGGGTAAGCTCTTCCAGCTGGGTGCTACAGAATCCCTGGCCATCCTCATCTGTGGCTGCTGCCCAGGGGGAAACCTCTCCAACATCTTTAGCCTGGCACTAAGAGGGGACATGAACCTCAGGTAAGGCAAGCTGAGCAGGTGTTCATTGCCCAGGCCAATCTAGTCGTATGTCTGGTTCAGAAGCTAGCTTAATCAACATTATCAATCCCCAAGAAGCTGGACAAACGTTAAAATACTAAGTCTAGAATATTTTTACAGCACCCATATTGCTCAATGAGCCAATTTGTCCGTGTTTTACAATAAAACGGGATTTTGTACCTTTCTGTGAAGCATATGGCATGCTGCTTTTGATAAGATGGGTGCAGGAACACTTTTTTGCCTCCACATAGCAGTACTTATAGTATATATCTACTACATCTATCCATATAGCAGCGTATAGCTGTGTAATCTGAGCACGCTGTCTGAAGAGGCTGAATCAGTGAGAAACGTTGAACTAGCAGAACCCCACAATCCAACAAACCCCAGCGATAAAACAAGATCCAGGGGGGGAAATATGAAGCATTACTTTCTCTGTCACTTGTGAATTTCTGAAGTGTGAGCTGTACCCATAATGAGGGTCCTTTCTGAGCTGGTATAGAACTTGAATCATCTTCCCCCCTCTCTATTCATATCACGTCCTTGTACAACCTGATAGTGATGGGAAAACCTCAGTGGCAGGTTGGGAAAGAGCAAGGTAAAGTCTTATATGAAAACCATGTGTCCAGGTTAGTAAGAAAAATGAGCATATTCCATTAAAAAAGTGTCATTCTTCTAGTGAAGAATCCTTTCTTCATCCCAGCATTGTAATGACCACGTGCTCAACAGTCCTGGCAATTGGACTAATGCCTCTGCTTCTGTACCTTTACTCGGGAGGGCTATACGAGGGTGATTTGGAGGGCAAGGTGCCTTACAAAGGAATAATCACCTCCCTGGTCCTAATGCTAATCCCCTGTGCCATCGGCATCATCTTGAATGAGAAGAAACCACAGTATGCTGGCTTTACCATCAAGGTAAGAAGTATCCTGTGCTAGCTGCCTTTCAACCAAGGGCCTCAAGGAAGTTTTCAAAACTAGAGGCACAGAAATAACAACTTCTTTAAGGCATGCCACAAATCAATGAGAGGGTTGAGGACAGAACTCAAGACATCTACTTCACCACTTTAATCATTAAAATATTTGCCCAAAGTCCTCCACCTTTTCCCAACAAACAACATTTTGTAGGCAACTTCCTACCTTGCTCTCCTTTGTTGGCTTCAGTTTTAACTTCGTTTTCTTTTGCTACAAGCAGCCCTAATGAGCCTCATAGTTACTGCCCCCGACTACTGCTGTAGCCAAAGCAGACCCTAGATTTAAAAAACAAACAAACAAAAAAACCCAAACAAAAACAAACAAACCACCCCACTGTTCTCAGAGGTCTAGCCCAGGGCAAAAATCACATTACAAAGTTGCTGCTTACATTGATGAGATATCTGTCCAGCTGAAGCCAGGAGATGACTAAGTGCCCACTTATGCCTGGAATCATCTCCCTGCCTCTTTTGTACACCAGGCATTTAAACAGCAAAAGGGAAATCTGGATAACCAACTACACCATTGTCTAACTCAAGAGCTCCACTAGCACTACCCAGAGAGCTGCTAACAACGTTGTGAACCTGTTTGTCATAGATTCTTTCACTAAGGCTTCATCTCAGAGCACCTGGGATCAAGCACGGCAAGAAATGGGTGCCAAGACTTAATAACAGACCTGATAAAATGATGTTAGGAATCACTAACCTTTAAGAAGCATGGGAACCCAGGAGTCAGGCTGGAGCAGACGCAGGAGGGCCAGAGCTCTGCAAAGGTTCCTTTACCCAGCAGAAGGCAGTGATGACAGGACTGTTTTGAAAGAAGCTTTAAAAGCCTCGAATAAGAAGGTGACCTACACTGGCCCAGCTGACCCTTGGTTCATGTCCCTTTTTGCTAACACGGCTTTTCCATCTATCTTCTCCACAAAAGAGGAAGGGGATAGAGAGCTGCTTTTAAAAAACACCTGGGGAACTCCATCCAAATTGGACTCCAAACTGGAGAGACAGGCAGGAGAGCTGTGTATTCTGCCTCCCAAAATTCCCCAGGTCCTTCACCTGCTGAATCGCCAGACACCAGTGAGATGATCTGGAACGGCAGCCACCACCTTCCACTCCTGCTGTAGGCAGGCTCCACCTGTGAGGGAAGTGGTTTCCTCCCCACCTGCTTCGGGTGGAAGGGATGTCAAGCCGGACCCCCAAAGGGACTTGAACACATGGCATTGCCTGAGAAACAAGTGGCTGGTGGACCAAGCACCGGTCTTTTTGCCTATAGACCAGAAAGATCCATTGTTATTTAAGGTCTACTTGTGACAGTTATGTCCATGAAAGGCACTTAGGCACTCTCACTATACACTTATATATGTGATGGACAGGGAACTGGGCTTCTGACAAATTTTGCTGGGAATTTTCGTCTTGCCCATGTCTTGACCACTTTTATTTTAGGCAGGGATGGTTGTGCTTCTCCTGTCATCTGCTGCAATAATCGTTCTGTCTGTGGCCAATGTGGGGAGCAGTATCATGGTCGTCTTCTCACCATCCCTCCTGGGATCTTCTGCCTTGATGCCTTTTATTGGATTCCTGCTTTTTGTTCTCTCAGCAATCTTCAAGCTTAATGACCGGTATGTTCCTCCGCTCCCCCCTCCCCGCACTCTCGGTCACCAGAAGGAACAGAAAGGTACGACAGCTCTGGTCTATGGAGCAATGGTGAAAACATGGGTTTCAACGTGGATGTACTTCAGTAAAATAAACACTGACTGCAGCCTCCCAAAACGGGCCCTAGGAGTACAAGCAGACATGCTGCAAGCTGGTTCCAAGTCAATACTCCCACACCTTGAGTGGGGAGAGACATGAGCTCAGCCTCTGCTTGGCTGAACGGAGAGGGGAGGAGCAGCCAGCGCGGTTTTTGACGCAGGTACCTGATCACCACGGAATGGGTGGAACTCCATTATGCAGGTTCGCTGAACAAGCAGATGGATGGTTTTGATTTAAGGTCACTAGTGATCTGCTAAGCATGCGTTACCAGCCTCTGCTCTCAGTAATGAAGCTGGGGGGAGAATGAATAGCACCAAAGAACAACAAAGAATTAGGGAACACCAACAGAGACCAAACCCCAAGTGACACAACTGTTCCTCAGCTGATAATTACCCCAAACCAGTCAGTGCATTCAGCTGCAGCCCCAGGAATTCAGGATGGAAACCTTACATATAAACGCCACTCCTTCCCTTTCTCACCCTACCTAATTCAGGTAGGAGGCCCGCTAGTCCTCACTATTTTTTACCTTCACACCTTGGACTCCTCTTTTCACCTCAGAAGCAGATTCCTCCCCTGTGGGGGACAGAAGGCCTCCAAATACCATTAAGCACAAAGCCCACATTTATAACGTGATCTGTGTGCGCATCGCAAATGGAGCACGAGACAAAACTTTCTAGGGATCCCAGTATTGCTCCTGATAAAGCAGCTTTTAGCGCAAGCAAATGCACGAAGCATTGCAACAGCAAGGTGGGCAGGGTTCTTTTTAAGTGTTTGAAAGCGGATTAAATCTGTGACCCGTTTAACTTTTCCTCCTTCAGATGCAGGCGGACAGTGTGCATGGAAACGGGCTGCCAGAACGTACAGCTTTGCTCGACTATCCTCAAGGTCGCCTTCGCCCCAGAAATCATCGGCCCCCTGTACTTCTTCCCACTGCTCTACTTGCTGTTCCAGCTGGGAGAGGGACTTCTGCTGGTCCTGCTCTTTAGGATCCACGACAGAATAAAGAAACCAAGCGGCAAGTACAGCTTTGCTCCTGTATTTCTTACGCTTTCCAATCCAAACCACATACGCTTGCATACAATTACCAATGAACTACTGCTTTCTAGGGCCAGAATCAGGTTGCCCTTTAACTCAGTTACCATACCCAATACATTAAATACAAATCACAGTAAGAAATTCATAGGTAGCTGAAGACATTAGAAATTAGGACTTCTTGTATCAGCAAGAATGTTTCATATAGCTATATACTATCTATATTAATCAGTGCTGTTTTCAGAGTCCTGTGCTTAAACTAGGACAGGGCATCCTTCAAAAGCTATGACTTGCACCGAGCACATGCAAAGAACAGCCACACGCACGCCCCTAGAACTACACAAGAAATCAGATATTAACGCGACAAATTCCAGCTTCACTGTAAACGGTTGCGACATTCACTGAAGGGTGTCATTTTTGGAGGGAGGGGGAGGAAAAGGACAGACCTGCCAAGTACTGCAGCTGAAGGAAGGAAACGTGGGTCTTTTGCTAGAAAAGTACATCAATAGATTCAAGATTCATTAAAATATATATACAGTATTGGTATGAATGTGAGGTAGACTCTTCCCCAACTTCAGTAAGTCCATAATGCCCAAGTCCAGCTGAACGCCTGCAAAGACGGCTAGAGAATGCACTGCTGAATGAGGTTCTCCACCAGTCATCCCTCTGATGCTTCCAGACCAGCTTTCTCCAGTCCCTTGGGACGGAGAAGCAGCTGAGCAGCTGCTACAGGAGCACTTTACTGTATCATACAGCTATAGCTGAAGGACGACTGTTAACAGGGAAAAAAAAAACCACTCCATTTGTATCCTCAGGTGTGCCTTCAGTACAAAGCAGTGGATATTTCACACAGCCATACAGGTGCTTGTGAGACCACTATAAAAAGGGTTCAGAAATTACTGGAAACAAATGGTTTAAGTATTTTGGCAGGACTTCCAAGTTCCTTCCTCTTCCTTTATATCACCCAGGAACACCAACTGTAGCTGTGTCACAATCTTTCCATAACCTGGGTTCAGAACTGCCTGTTCTCACTTCATTTTTCCTTTTCTTCAGATGCAGCAAAGATGGTTTGTGCCGCTGTGGACACCGTTACCGCTCAAGAAATGAAACCAGCGTCTGCACCCTTCACTGTTACTTCCTGAAGACCCTGCTCCACAGACTAAGTGTCTCCCTGCCTGCCCACGAGGGACGCTTCCAGTGACCTCTACGTCATCACGACAACCCTTTGGGACAGTTCAGGGCCCCAGTTTTGCCTATATAAAAATCATGGCCTGTACCAGTTCCCATTTTTAATTTCACTCACCTCTAATTGTCCCGCTGGCACATGTTGGAAGCAGCTCCCCAAGACATTGCTGGAGATGATTAATGTAATTTCTCTAACAAAGACCCAAAACGAGGTGTGAAAGCTTCTCAGTGCGGGAGCCACCAGGACCCAGCGTGCAGCTGAGCAGCCCGTGGACCGCTGGTCGCTCCCGTTTTCCAAAACCCACGCACTGTGCAGCGTACCACTGCTCTCCACACAGCAGACGCCACAAACACGGAACACAGCTGTGCAAACTGCCTTAGTACATCCCACTTGGGTCCAGCAAGCTGTACCCCTGAAAATATGAGAGCCTTGAACATGCCTTGCTTCGTAGGAGCCAGTGAACTAAATGCAACGCCTTTTCAGGACACCATCTAGCTATCGTCACGCTACGAATCTGAGGGAAGATCGGCATGAACAGCCTCAACGTGCTACGGATGCATTGTGACCTGAGGTAATCCACCTTAATGAAGAGTAAACAGGCTTGTACCAACAACCTACGCTTCATAAACGCAGAATAACTTCTAGCCAGAAGTCACCAGAACCCTCCGTAACACTCTCTCGTAACAGGGGCGAGGGCTTGAGGGACACGGGGATCGCTGCCCCTGTAAAGCACGCTGCTGCAGCGCTCCCACCCGCCACCTTAAAAACCCCTCCTCTTCCTCCAGAATGAGGACCAATGCCTATAAAAAGATTTTACCCACACCTCGATGTTCTCTCATACACGTGTGAACAGACGAAACACACTAATGAAGTATGCTGACTACATCCATCTTTTACATTCCACGCTTGTTATCCAAACAGCGATTAAAATCTGAATGACTTGCCCATTCCGCTTCCTGCTATGAACTATGACAGCATGACTCTGCTTAGTAGCAAGGTTCTTATTTCAGAACCTAAGGATATCTAAGGACATAGCGTGATGTGTTTAAAAGGAAGCTCTCCCCCACGCCCAAAACACTCAAGAATAACTTTGCTGTAGCCCCATCTTTAAGAAACACTTTAACACTGTCCAACAACGTGAGGCGCAGTCACAAACACTTTATTAACAGTAAGAACACACTACAAGTAGAGACATGTTTCTTTATACTTTATTTGAGCTATTTAATTCTTACGTATCAAGAATTAGGGTGCTTTATAGAATACTATTACCACAGGGCAGTGAAACGGGCATTTTTAGTGTAGTGCAAGTCATATTAAATGAAAAGCTTTTAAAATAAAGTTTTATTACCAGTACTGACCAGCACTTAATCTGCTGACCTATAACTGAAACAATGGTTCAAAAGCACAAAAAAATACCCTCTGAAATAAAGCTTTATGTACAGCACATGTAGAGCTCTTCGATGCCTAAAGCTATTAGTTTAATTTGTGATATTAAACTAATATTCCGAGTTGCTATTCACAGTTGAATATACTGGGAATTAAGTGTTCAGATGACTCTTTTTGGAGTACAAAAACATTTGTCTGCTTTAGCTATAAAGAGCTCTGCCCATATACACAAACTATACACTTCAGACATTCACAAAAAATGTGAGCAAGAAAACGGTTATCAAAAAAACATTTAATACAATTAGTCAATAACCCTGCCCACCATGGTCCACATCTACAAAGTACCCCCATCCCTCCCCCCTCCCCATCCAAACCCTTCCCCACAGAAAGTCACATACTTACCACAAGTTTTAGCAAGTATGGTTTAAAAAAGGGCCCCCAGGGCAAGTTAGTTATAGTTCAGTTGCCACTGTCAACAGATCTCGACCTCGATCTAGACCTCTGCCGATCCACAGATGATGGGGATTTAGATCTACTGGAAGAACCACGTTTCTGGCTCTTCTCTGGCATTGGAGATCTACTAACTGATCGAGACTTGCTACGGCTCCTACTCCTTGACCTGCTGTAAGACTTGCGGCTGCGGGAACGGGAACGGCTACGAGACCTGGATGAGCTCCTGCTACGAGACCGTGACCTGCTTCTGGACCTACTGAGGAGACAAAGAGCACTGGTGTTAGCAATAACACGTCATGGACCACAACCACCAGGCAATTCACTGGTCTCCATTTCAGGTGCCTGGTCACTGACTTCAAAGTTTTCTCCATGAATATTTAAGCATTATTTAAGAGATTTAATCATTACATTAAGAAATCCATACCTGTGCCTTTTGCTGCCTTCAATTAATTTGATTTTCCTTCCATTAATTTCTTTACCAGAAAGCTTTTCAATAGCATTCTTTAAATCACTGTAAGAGGCGAATTCAACCACCCTACAGAAAAAAAAAAAACCCAAAGCAAAAAAAACAACACAGAGCTCACTATTACAAGTTGCAATTTTGATGATAGAGCAAAACATACTCTGGGGAGGAAAAAAAAAACCAAACAACTCAAAAAACCATCACACTGCTTAGTCATCCCTTGTCATAACTCAAGCATGAACAGAAGAATTCCCCTCCTCAAATACCAGAGAATGCATTTTCAAAGGGTAGCTAAATTAAACCATGAACAGCTGCCTAGCACTGAAAGCAGCCAGCTTCCCTCCCCAAATATTATACATACAAACATTACTCGACAGCTTTCAAGACATGATTTTAGAGGCTTACCCTTCATTTAACTTAGGTCTGTGTGCATCTGCAAAGGTTACTTCCCCAGCTTGTCTCATGAAGTCTTTGAGATCCTAACACAAGACCAGTTATGTTATGCAAAGAAGTGAAATTAATACTTATCTATATAGAAATAGTTAAAAACAAACAAAAGAAACTTATGACTACTGAAAGAGAAGATGTTAGATAAACTACAAACATGGCAATTGCCATACTTGTATTCTATCAAAACTGTATTATCTATACCAGGGCACGAAATAAATGAAAAAAGCATATTGCTTTAAGCAAAATGCTAATAAAGTGTCTTAACATTAAGGGAAATATTAGTCTACAAAGATTATATAGATTAAATAAGAAAGAGAAAGAAAGAGAGAGAGAGAGAGAGAGAGAGAGAGATAAAAAAAAGTACATTTGTATTTATACTGGACTGAGTGTGAAATACTGCCCATATATTTTTGTACTACTTCAGTCTCCATTTAAATTACGAGTCTTATATACATAGAGAATTACATTTACGTAACACCAATTATTTTGTGCCCCATATGTCATTAAAAATATAGTTTACTTTACCTTCATTAACATTTCCCTAGGCTAGCCAAGCAGCAAACTGCATTAAGCGACCGGAGATACCGTCATGATATATGCCCGACTGGCTCTTCGCCACCCACTTGACGAACACTACCCAGTCGATGGAAGCCATTAATCGCACTGCCCTCCCTATTAGGAGACTATTGATGGATCCAGACATTCTCTATGCTTGATGTTACCAAGGACCACTTTACTGCGATCAGGATTCCAACGACCACCTAATTTCGTATCTTTCAACTCTTTTCGACCAGGACCTCTTTATTCGGAAGCGTTACAGGAAGAACAGCTCTCAACTTAGGAATCAGATCTCGTTAACGCCTGGGATCGCTGCAATGTGGCACTTTAAGGAGTGCATCGATTACGTCTAGACCGGCAAACACAGATCTAGAGGTGGCCAAGTGACACTGTAGGAGCTGACTGGAAAGTCAACCAGGCCCAACCAAGAGTGACCAAGACAGAACGATTAGGATAACCCACAGGCACTCCTCGTCATAAGGCCAACGACACAGATAGGCTGGCAAATAAAGGGTTTAATATGTGGTTAAAATGGATTTAAAAAACAAGAAAAAAATAAATATATATCCTCAAATATATACATTCATTATTATTATAAATTAAAATTAACTAGTTTTCATTCAAAATATTTAAATTACATTATTTAAAATTACATTAATTACATAAACATTTTTAATAAATTAGATTTAATTTTAATTAATTATTTTACAAAATAATTACATTACATACCCATTAAACGAAGTCAAAATAGTTAATCGTGTTTCAACAAACCTGCCAGCTGACTCGGGAAGACAAATTTTCAACTATGAGGCGATTTTCTGTTCTTACAGGTGGGGCATTTCTGTTTGGAAGTAAACAATTTTTAGACTTTTATTAGCAATCAAAACCATAGACTCACAGAATCGTTAAGGTGACCGCCTGTTAATATTAACAAAGGCTGTACCAGTAACCAGTGTCAGCATATCACCATTACTACTACGACTTAACTGTGTAATGCCCTGAGTAATCTAGGACAAGCATTAAGTACTTTGGGGAGGGAGCATAAAGATGACACGCATATCTGACAAGTTTTGTAATCCTCACTATCCTACTGCAACATCAAATGACTGACTAAAAAGGCAATACCTTCTAATATCTCATTCTAGCTCAAGTTCTTGGACCAGATGAGCTCACACTATTCTTTTTTAAACTATGTCACTTCAAAGTTATACATACCTCCTGTCACTACGTGGACGGCGGCTACTAAAACGGTCAGAGTACCTCCCTCTGCCTCTACCCCTAGAGCGTGCTCTTGCATGCTCAATTGTAACCCTGGGGGGGAAGAAAAAAAAAAAAAAAGGAAACCAAACATTTCCACATTTTCCTTCTTACATATTCCTTCATAATTGTAGTTACTGGGACCCCACTCCTCCCACATAAAATAGTTTAAACAGTACTGATAACACAATGCGGGTTAAAATTGACTCACTTCTTATTTTAGATATTCAAGCTTATATATTCATGAAATAGGGTACATCACCTCTCACTGCAAAGCTCTTTTCCATCCAATTCATAGACAGCATCATCCGCATCCCTCGGATCCTCAAATTCCTGCAAAACCACCACCGCAAAAACATAAAAGTAAAAAATTACGTCTCTGAGAAATTAACAAACGCTTATTTGCCACATAGCACACTTAGCTGAGCGCGTTAATAGCGTTATCTTTAGAAGTAGCTTCGTGCACATCAAACGCGAAAGAGACGAGAGTGACCACCAAGGGACAGGGGCCGACAGGGGCCGACAGGGGCCGACAGGGGCCGACAGGGGCCGACAGGGGCCGACAGGGGACTGGGGAGGGGCGCCCTCCGCACAAAACCCAACCCCCACTACAGGA